CCCAACCATGCCACCTTACTCTGAGGCCTTCCCTTGCAGTCAAGCAAGTGTTTTACTGTGCAGTCCTTGGTGCTGTCTGAGCTAGGCTGTTTACTTGCAGACGTTTCTTTACCCAACTAGGCAATATCATCAGTGTGAGTGGGGGGGGGGGTTTGCTCCCTGTTCATATACAATAGCTTTGCAAACGCACATTCACTTGCACTGATGATGTTGCCTAGTTGGGTAAAGAAACGTCTGTAAGCAAACAACCAAGCTCAGACAGCACCAAGGACTGCACAGTAAAACACTTGCTTGACTGCAAGGGAAGGCCTCAGAGTAAGGTGGCATGGTTGGGCAGATTGGGAGGGTCAGAAAGGGAGCTCTGCCCAGATTCAGAGGGTGGTCTTACTACATGGAAATGTTACTGCTCAGGTAAGGCCCATCCTGTACAGAAGAGTATCCCTATGATCCTGTGCTGCTTATGCGGGACTGCACAGACTCCCATCTTGTCCCCTTGACTCTTGGGATTCTCCCCCCCACCCCGGGGAAGCCAAGGTACCAGGCCCACTCCTTCCAAGTTTTTCTGAGGAGCAGCAAAGTAGTCAATCCTCCTCACCCATTTCGTCTTTTGCATCCTTTAACTGGCTTTCTGGGGAAAGCACAATCTAGTTCAATAGAGCAATGAAGTACAACAACGGGACACTAATTTGGGGATATGAAATATGTGCCAAGAATTTTAGAGCTGAGCATGATATTAGTGTGGAAGTGCTTATTCTGAAAAGTCCTAAGCAGGGGTGTCTGCAAAAAGCCAAGGTTTCAGCAAAATGATATGTGCATCATGCCATCAGATGCATGTTTTTCCTTTGAACTTGAGGCACAATACACTGGGGGAGAATCATTTGTTGTTTCACTTCTTTCGGTAAAATGTCACAAATTGTCCCTCTAGGAGTCAAATGAAAAATCCTGATAATTCCCTCACATACTTGCCCTCTTCTCAAATGTTGCATTTTCCCTACTGGTTCTAATACTGGCTATTATTACATTGTCTTATTTAATCATGGTTTGCTGAATAAGCCACCCCTAGTTAGGTTTACATATTGCACTAAACCACAAATCAGTGTTCTGAATGGAGTTCCCTTGTCAGCTGGCAGGACTCAGACATTCCCAGTATACATCGTCTCAGGCAGACTTCCCCAATTTACATCTTTATGAGAGATGTTTACTTAGTATGTAGCAAAAGGCTTTACACTGTCTTTTTCTTTTTTTAAAATAAAATTTTATCGCTTGGAAGACTGGTCTGATTCTCCACAAAAGAAGGGGACAGGATGGGCTGATTCTGACAGTTACACACTGTGACATCATAAGGCCAAGATGTGTCACTATAGAATTTATTTCATTTGTTCTCATTTTTTTCCTTTTAACTTGTGAGAAAGTTATATAGCTTGTTCTGTTAACCAAAGTTAGCATGTTGTGTGAACACAGTCTATAATAAATAAAAAGACAATTCTGTAAGTAAGTCCCTTGTGAATGTTGTTATGGGATAGAAAGCATACAGTGTTTATACATAAGAGACTAAAGAATGTTTTGTACTGCCACCTTCTGTAATCCAATTGTAAAACCTATATACAACGAACACATTATCTTCCACTTTAACTTCCACATTAAGAGCATTTATATGTACAATAAATAGTGTGAACGGCTCAAATGGGTTGTGCAAATGCCTGAAGATAAGAGTTTTAAAACTGAATGTACATTTGTAGCTAATGTGATTAAATGTATACTATAGGCTTAGGGAATACAAGAGCTTTTAGGGCATTTTTTCACAAATAACATTTAATTGTGTCTTTCCCTCACTATTTGTGTCACATTGGACTATTGTTAACACAGCACAGAATGCAGAACAAAAACCTGAACACACATGATTCCCAATTATGCCTTTAAACTGACGCTGCAAACCAATTTAAGCAAACATTTATATATTTAAAATATTTTATCTTGCTTTTCAGCAGGTGTCCACAGGTAGAGGGGTCAAAAAGTCAAGATGGCAGCCATATCCATGTGATCAAAGCTCTACTCCCTATTTAATTAGTGTTATGTACTTTTATTTATCATGCAGTAAAGTAATATTGACTGATATCCTATCTGAACATAATAGGTGTAAAGGGAGTATCTCTGCAATACCACAGCTGTTTATTTTTCTTTATTTAAAAAAACTACAGGACCATACACCAAAAGGCTGCCTTAAAGTGGAAAACTAAAAATTTTTAAAAAATCACAAATGATAACATTTTTATTGTGTCATTTATTTACAATGATTTTTGTATCACCCTAATGAAAGATTTTGAATGGTATACAACAAAACATCAGCACAAAACAGGCTTTCAACAAATGATGCCTCATAATTAAAACAACATTAAAATCAAACTAAAGAACAAAAGCTAATGAAAAATGATGATCCAAGAATTACAACTGGGTATCAAATGACTGTGTGTTTTTTTAAAAGTATTCAGAGCCTTCCTTAACATCAGAAGTGATATACAAGCCTATTACCACTAATTTGCCACTTATTTATACTAAGAATTTATTAATAAAATATTTATTTGTATAATGACAAGTTGAAACTTACTACACAAGTTAATAGAAGACAGTGGAACAATTGTTCTCAATTTTTTTTTTTTTTAATCTGCGCTCAGTTGTTACCGACTCTGCAGTGACTGCTTGGACGA